TCCACCCTAAAAAAATTAAAAAACAAACTAATATAACAAAGGAGAATAGTGTCAGATAATGTCAGGTTCAAGATATATGAGGTCCACTAATACAAATTAACTTTATAAAGTTATAAATTATTTTTTTTTACATTTTTTGTGAGTACAACTAATAATCTTCAGAAGAAAGAAGATATAATTTTAGATTGCACTTAAATATGTATTTACTATCGCTATTTTTAATGTATTCCGGCAACATATTCCATACTACTGTGCATCTGTTTTTTGTGGAATACAATCCATAGTTTGTTTTATTGTAGTGTTTGTGTAATTTCATAGAGCCTCTGGTATTATGGCAATGAATAACATTGTTTTTTATGCAAAGTGAATCAAATTGAGGTGGTAGTGTATTTTTTACTGCGTAGAATGTGAACAAACCAACTTGAAAAGCATTTATCTTATTAATATTTAGTATTTCTAGCGTTGAAAAAAGGGTTGAAGATGAGAAAGTATAAGGCAAAAATGATATTATTTTCAGAATCTTTTTCTGTATCGTTGATACTGACTTTAATCTTGTTTTATAGTTGCTAGCCCATAGTATATTACCGTAATATAAATGTGGGTAAACAAGAGTATGATATAGAGTTATGAGATGTTTTTTATTTAGGTAGTGACGAACTTTACAAAGAATGTTAGATACTTTTAATAATTTCTTAGTTATGTAATCAATATGACTTTTCCATGTTAAGTGTTCATCAATTATAATACCAAGGAATTTAGTTTCTTTAGCATTTTGTATAATTTTATCATTAATCTTAAAGGTTAGATTTGCGTTATGTTTTTTCCTGAATGATTTGAATATAATGTAGTTAGTCTTTTTAATATTTAAGGTAAGCTGATTATCCTTAAGCCATTGAGTCAACCACATACACATTTTAAAATGACTTATTACTGGACTATTACATCAACGGCCTTACATCGTGATATGCCTATGATATTGACGACCCTATACTTCCTAGGGGCTTCCTAGGACATGGAGAACTGTCTGCTTAATGATTACAGCTTGAAGTGCGACTGTGCGAGGCTTCACTGGCCCTGTAATATGCTGTCCTTCGACTTAGAGTTGTTTTTGTTTTCCTTTTTATAACTTGTCTAATAAGGGGCCGACCATTTAACTTTGGAAGGGGGTGATTTACTGCTGGAAGGGATTTTTTTCTGGGATCGTTATGTGCAAGATTTTTTTTCCTATCCCATCACCATGTACGATATTTTTTGCCACTCTCTCATTTCGCAGCATTTGCTATGAGGTATAACATTTGGTTTATTCAATAGATCTTTATATTAAGATCTTGTGGGAAGCACAGACAATGAAATCCGTTACACTAATAGGTGGACTGCTGACAAGAGCCTGCCAATATTGGAATTCTCGAATACGTAGCTGTCTCGATTGAGATATTTATATATATACAGGGTGAGTAAAAAAAACCTGACACCTTTGTTATTCAAATTAGCCGCGAAGGTATCAGTTTTTTTTACTCACCCTGTATATAGAGAGCTTATTTTAATAAGCTTTAATTAAAAAGCACGGCAAACGGCAAGGCCGAATTTTCTTGGCCGCATAATTTTCGTTCGATTTCTGCGTGTCATATTTCAAATTTCTTTCATATGACACAGGAATAGTTAAGCATTCTAGTTTTAAAATAACAAGCCTATTTTTATATTACTCTTTATTAATTGACTTTTTAAGACTCATGTAAAACATGATTGTCATATGACATGCACATATATGAAGTCGGAAAAGTCCTTTATAGTATAAATAATAATTCAGATTATTTATGGACTAGTTTTCTCTATCCCTATATAGGAAAAAGTGTGCTTTTATAGTAGACTATGAAATACAGAAATAGCCCTTACACAGTTACACTAGTCCCTGAAAATCAAACCATGCAGCTCATCCGTGTGACGTTTCCGGATAGCAAAGACAAAGTGTTTAATTTTCAGCACTTCTTCAACGAACACGAAATATTTTTCATGTTATAAAATTTGGAGAAACGTGATCGATATTTGAAAAGAAAAGCCTGCAAAAGACGAGTTATGAGTGATATTAAAAATAAATGTGGAATAATACGAAGATGAATGCTAGTTAATTTAAAGGGGCAAAGCACTATTTGATATTTACCCATGCAAACACCATGCATGTGGATACAGGTATAAAACTAATAAAGTGCTGCGATTTATATCAAAACTCCCGCTACCTGCATGGGCAGCTGGATATGTATAGAGGGTCCTGAAGGGGGGGGGGGGTCCCAATCCCATTTCCCACCTAAAATATTGGCAAAATCCCAGTCCCAGTTGGATTTTTATTAGAAATCCCAATCCCAGTTATTGAAATCCCAGTCAATAAAAACCCATTTATTTATCGGTAGAATAAACAGTTTTAAGACCTTTTATTAAGCCAGTGGCGGACACGTTATGAAATATTGGGGGGGGGGGCTCGTGCCGAAGGCACGGAAAATTTTAAAATTTGAATCCCGGAAATGGCATTTGCAGCATTCTGAGACACGCATAATCAGAAAACCCAGAATTCCTGGCGCCAGAGTATGCCTGTTCGCAGGTAGTGCTGTGAATAATGTAGTTAACAACAAAAATCATGACCAAAGACACCAAAAACGGATCAAAATTGTATTTTAAAATACTCAAAACGCAGGAAAATTGGCAATCGACTCACATTACCTCAATCCCATTCCCATTTTTGAGGACTTCATTTCCCATTCCCAGTGGCCAAATCCCAGTCCCAGCAACCCAAATCCCATTTTCCCAGTCTAAAAATAGATCAATCCCAGTTCCCATTTTACCCCTTCAGGGCCCTCTGTATATTTTGATAGCAATTAGTCCTATATCATGGTGGTATGAGGTAAAATATATTATGGAATAAAAAAGACCGCTAATTTATTAAATATGTGCTGAATTTTTATACGATGACTATATCAGTGTAGAATTTGGCGAATCAGCAATTGAACATGTAATGTGGTAAAAGCCATCATTGTTTACATCCTTGCATGGTTTGCATATAATCGTTTAATAAATCTCTCTCATCCACAGTAAATCAGTAATTGTTCTTCCGTATGATGCATTTTCTTTGTATATCAAATCCGATTTAATCTGATTTCTAGATAGTATCCGCGTCTCGCGACTCACTTAAATATATAGGATCCAAAATGTTTTTTCATTTGTAAGGAGCAATATTCATTTCATGCCTTTCAGATCAGTAAAACCGGCGATTGAATTATTTTCCACAATATCGACAACTCATTGTCCTCATTCTGCAAGCACTGCAAGAGCCCAAATGTTATAAGTGACAAATGACTTTATACGAGCCGAGAATAACCAAGTTAAGGTACCACTCAATAGAAATGCGTGTTCAGTGTTACATCTCATTGAAACTCCTATATGCTTATATACATGAGCGTATACAGCGGTATATGCTTATATACATGAGTGAAAAGATGCTGAGCATCATGCATGACCATATATGCTCAACTGCTCATCCACCATCATTCTACTCGGCGTGGTACATGGTATATCAAAAACATCTTAATTTGCTTTCGTTTTGTCTGCACATGAAATATATTGCACGTGGGCGTATCTTCGAACTAGTCTCACTGCTCTTGGGCCGGTACGTGTTATACGTGTTGAAATAAATGATTTAGTTTATACCTCACTTTACTTTATATATTATAGTCATATAAAAATTCAGCATACATCAGCGGTCTTTTTGATTTCATAATATATTTGTACCCCATACCACCATGATATAGGAACTAATTTCTGTCAAAATATGCCAACAGCTACCTGGGTAGCGGAAGCTCGAGTTTTAAAATAATCAGTGCAGCACTCTTTTATGGCTATATATCCACATGATGTGTGGGTCAATATCAAATAGTCCTTTGCCTCCTAGCGTTCATCCGGCGTGATTATTCCACATTTAAGTCTTTTTAATAACTCCCTAATTCATCTTCTATTTCTGCCTCTTCAAATAACACAAAACTCACTTCTGGCTTTAAAATTTCAAATATCACACTAGTCACTACTCACATTTTTTCATTTCATAATTTCTCTATCTTTTTATTTATAGTAAATGTATACTAATTCTACAACTTTATCTTGGCTATATCGACACCGTTGCAGTGCTTATATTTGTACAAATTTCAATGACTTTATTCTTTTCATCTTGCTTCACTTAGAGATTTTGGTTTTATCTAAAATAAATATTGTGAAGTTTAATAGTATTTGAGCATTGATTACATTATTTTGTAAGAAAGCTGCTGGAAACGTTTGTATGGTTTGCGCCTCCTTTACCTGCTGACGTCTTGATCTCAGTTTACTGTACGCATATCCTATAGCTCATTGTTGAATATGCTTGTCAGGTGTGGCATTACAGCTTTCCCCTGTTCCTCAATGACAAGTTGGGGAAAATCCAAAACTGAAGAGCACTCATAATTATCTTTCGAGGCAGGGACGTCGCTATAGGGGTGTGTGTGGGGGTGTAACATCCCCCCCCCAATAATTCAAACGTTGATCAAAGTTGGTCAATATGGAACTGATATTTGCCCAAAGTTGGTCAATATGGAATTATACAATTACTTTATGGTTTCCGTGTTTGGATGGCCTGATCCAAACACGTGGGAATGTTGCGAGAGTTAAGAAAAGCGAGCGAAATCACGAGCCGAAGGCGAGCGAAACACGAGCCGAAGGCGAGTGATTTTGCCCGCTTTTCTTAACTCGAGCAACATTCCCAAGTGTTTGGATCAGTCCATCCAAACACGGAAACCATAAAGTAATTGTTTTATAAAATAACAACAACACGGTAGTCTTCCGTGTTCGGATGGCCTGATCCAAACACGGCTTTCGACCAATCAGAATACGCGTTATATACATGTTATTTTATAATGATATTTCGGCCTAAAATTGAAGGTAAAAATCGGAAAAATTTGGTCAAAGTTTGGGATAAAAGATGGTCGAAGTTGCTCAAAGTTATGAAATGGTTGGAAATTTTAACAATTTTAAAGCTTTTGTTATGTTTGCGGTGAAAAAATTGGAAGCCTTGCTTATCGTGGTCGAAAAATTTTGAATATGCTTATGTTAGTCAGTAAAAATTTTTTTGACTATGCTTATGCTAGTCCTGAAAATTTTTTTGAAAAATTTGTACGACTTGGTCAAAATCCTAGGAAATGTTGGTCAAAACATGACGACCACCCCCCCCCAATGTTGATGGCCTCGCGACGTCCCTGCTTCCAGGTATTGACCATGCATGCCGAATGTTTGTTAAATGCAAATGATTACGACTGTTTACGGACACAGAAATGTACTTTGCAATCGTCTTTTTCACTCAGTGAATATGACGCTACCCACTCACAAATTGAATATATACTTAATTTGTCCCCTCCAAAAATCTCCAAACATACGATTTGAGGACTTATCCCAACCTCAACCTGTTAGTGCTCAGGTGTAGAACTGAACAGCTAGTTTCGTCCCCGCATTTTCCCCGATCCCTGCTACTGACTCTTGACGAAGGGCCTTCGCTCGAAACGTCGAGTTTCTGCTTGTTTTTTAAGGTAGTAATATAACCACTCAGCACATCATTTTCACATTGACACTACCCACACTGGTACAGACAGTTTTAGTGTTATAAATTAACAATAGTAAACTCTCACAGTTGTTAATATGTACTTTTCATCTAATTAGACAGTTTTAGTGTTATAAATTAACAATAGTAAACTCTCACAGTTGTTAATATGTACTTTTCATCTAATTACAAAACAGTTTTACATGTAAACATAACATATACTTAATATTGTATTCTCATACTATTAATTCCAAAGCAATTCAGTTGTTACCGCTATTTTGGAAATTAATGATTAAATCTAAAATCCTAACTTAATTGCACTATTTCACGTCTGTTTCAGATCCATGGATAATGAATTAATTGAATTTCACGCCATTGGGTTGTTATAGAAAGGACCAGACTTTCTGGACGAAACATCTATCAGTATCACTCAGAGAGGCAGAAATTACTTGCAATTGCACGTCTCGGGAGAGAGGTATGGATTGGATGGGATTTTGTTCCTGCTCCTGATGTTGGGAGGTGCGGGTGTTTTTTGGAATGACCCAATTTGTACGTTTTCTGCCACGTTGGTAAAAGAACTGACTTTAAAATTATATGCAAGGATGGTGGGAGTAACAGGAAGTGCTCCCTCTTCCTTTTCTCAAAGAGGGGGAGGGGCAAAAACGTTTCACCATAAAAGCATCACGTATAAAAAACCTCGTTTCCAACCTCGTACCCAGACTCTCACCTTCGCACAAGGGCGTGCGAAGGTAAGAGCTTGGGTTTGTGGTTGCACATATATATAAAGAGCCTGAGTTGGAGACATCTACTTCTTGCGACGTAGAACATCCTATATATAGGTGTTCCGTGGCAAATCAGCAACGCAGCCTAAGAATAAAGTGAATTTATACAATCATAAAGAGTCTGCAGTCACTCAAAGATGTTGCTTTGAAAATCTTGCAATCTCAATAGTTGACAAGAAAAATGAGACATACAGTCTGTCTTTTGCAATGTGAATAAGTTAACCCATATATGAACTTGAATTATATAGACTTAGAAATACCCAATTAAGGACCGGTCATGAAGGTTATAGAATTATGGTATAGAATTAAGGTTGGCATTAGAGTTCGGATTAGGTAATTAGGGTTAGGATTATTGCTACAATCATGGACAACTTGGAGAGTTGAGAAAATTCCTCGCATTATTCAGCCAAGCTGACTGAGTATACATTGACAAAGCTAACTTGGTGATCCCCGCTCCCCCAGTTGTTGTGAAAAACGCCAAATCAATTTTTTGGATGAAAAAATATTGAACAGAAAGATAAGCCACTATTAAAAAACCGCTAAGAATGACAGAAATACTCGTATGAAACTTATTTGCATTGAAAATACGTAAGCAATTTATACTTGAACATATACCTGTAGCAGTTAGCACTGTAGCCTTATTCTTACGTTTATAAATTATATATTCAGCTTGTATTCTAGTATTCTAGTATGATAGTTTTAGCAATTTTACTGTCACATTAGCTGGTATCTGAAAGGCTACCGTGGATAAACTGTTTATAAATTGTAATAAAAAGAGATCTTTGTGGTCGGGAATAGCTACACGACTTGTGGGATTTCTGTTGGCCCAACAAACCCAACAGCTAATCAGTTATTCCTGTCGACAGTGCCAGTACTGACTGAATAAAAACGAGAAATAACAAAGGGTCAGAGAGAAGACAATAAATGAAACAAAAATACCGGAATCAGGGAAGAAAGAGAGAAGCAATGAACGGCACATCGTAAAAAGAAACAGTCAAACAGGAAAAACACACAAAAAAGAAAGAATAAAAACTATTAGTAGAAAAGACGACGATAATCGTCAGACCAATATTGCAACAGATCGTACGTGTTGGAGTTGCTGTTGTTTTTGTATTCTTTGTACTCAGTCCTGTAATTTAATAGTTCAAAGTCAGTTATCCTGCCCAGCTACCATCAGTTGCAGACAAACCATTATACCATGGAAAATTAACTCAATAAAATACAAAACAACAGTATTAAACTCTGGATATGAATATTTTAATTAAAAATGTTCATATTTGGAGTTGCTGTTGTTTTTGTATTCTTTGTACTCAGTCCTGTAATTTAATAGTTCAGGTCAGTTATCCTGCCCAGCTACCATCAGTTGCAGACAAACCATTACACCATTTTAACTCAATAAAATACAAAACAACAGTATTAAACTCTGGATATGAATATTTTAATTAAAAATGTTCATATTTGGAGTTGCTGTTGTTTTTGTATTCTTTGTACTCAGTCCTGTAATTTAATAGTTCAGTTAATAGTATTCAGCCGAATAGAGCGTTTGCACATGACGTCACAGCCGCCATGTTGGTGTTCCAATTAGCCCTATGAATTAGCCTAGTCACGCCGCCATTTTTGGGTAGCTTTTCGCTGCGAGATAAGTCCACATAACAGCGACTTTTTATAATTTTTTTTGACAAATAATGGTAAATTTGCTAATTTGTAAATGATTAGTTTATTTTGAAAAATTACTTTTTACATTGTTTTAATTGTCTGCATTGGTTAACGAGAATTAGATGTCACCCAAAAATGGCGGATATTCGTGACCATTCGTCATCGTGAGAAGGCTAATTCAAAAGAATTTTAATTACTCTTTTGTCTGGAACACCAACATGCCCGCCATGGTTTTTGTTGAGTTGGTCCCTGGGGAATGAGTGCAAACCACTGAGGTGCAAACGCTCTACATGTATGTTCAGCGGAGTTGCCCCCATCATCACTCCAGTTCGATATGGAGTCCATCAGTCGTGCAGCTCAGTTCAGACACGAAAAGTCGAAAAACCCGGATGCCGCGCCTTGGTATTATTTGTATCATAAGAGGATGTGATGTGGTCGTAAAATAAACGAGGAAATCTCAACCTTTTTGTTGAGATATCTGACGATAAAAACCCTCCACTGGTTCGTCCTTATTTTGTTGTCAGAACAGTCCATATTTCAAGATGTCTGGTGGGCGAATGAGAGAATATAAGGTCGTTGTTCTTGGCTCAGGCGGGGTTGGGAAAAGTGCTTTAACAGTTCAATTTGTCACGGGAAAGTTTGTAGAAAAATATGATCCGACGATCGAAGATTTCTACAGAAAAGAAATCGAAGTTGATAACATTCCTTCAGTGTTAGAAATTCTCGATACGGCAGGAACGGAACAATTCGCTTCTATGAGAGATTTATACATCAAAAATGGTCAAGGATTCTTGCTTGTATTTTCCATAATAAACCAGCAAACATTCCAGGATTTGAGAGCAATGCGAGAGCAGATATTAAGAGTTAAAAACACAGACTCTGTGCCAATGATTCTTGTTGGTAATAAATGCGATATATTTGATGAACGTGAAGTTAATACGATCGAAGGAAAAGATTTAGCTGCTGAATGGGGTTGTCCGTTTTATGAGTCATCTGCCAAAACTAAACAAAATGTCGACGAAATATTCGCTGAAGTTGTTCGACGTATGAAAACGGCACAAAATAGTTCATCTTCTAAGGGTGCATGTTGTGTTATTTTATAAACATATTGTACCTATCAAGATCTAATACCTAAAATGATAAAATCTTCAGCTTCCAATTCTTGCTATATTGGCGGCTTGTATACCAAAGGTTAGAAGTGTAACAATTATTTAATTTTTATGACTTGTTTAAACAACAAAGACATTTAGTGCTTTCAATGACTTAAATAATTTGTGTAGTCCAATCCAGCACTTCAATAATGCTTATACAGAGTGTAAACACTCAGTAGAACTAAAAAGATGTTGTGGTATGTATATTGATATTTACTTTTCCAGTCTATGGAATTTGATATTTCAATTTAAAAATGTTGAAATATCAATAATGTGTATACCAAAGGTTAGAAGTGTAACAATTATTTAATTTTTATGACTTGTTTAAACAACAAAGACATTTAGTGCTTTCAATGACTTAAATAATTTGTGTAGTCCAATCCAGCACTTCAATAATGCTTATACAGAGTGTAAACACTCAGTAGAACTAAAAAGATGTTGTGGTATGTATATTGATATTTACTTTTCCAGTCTATGGAATTTGATATTTCAATTTAAAAATGTTGAAATATCAATAATGTGAAGGGAAGGGTGGGATAGAGGGGATGTCTTGGCTGTTGCAGTGGGAAGAGGTTATTTTGCTGGCCTCAAAGTGACAAAACGTAACCAAGCAACTGTTTTAATAACACTATCCCTATTCCAAACACCAACTCTAATCCTAACCCCAACCCTATTCCTAACCTAACCCTACTCCAAGTTTGTTTCTAAACCAATCTTGAAGAAATGTCATTCTGAGGTCAGCGAAATAGTATTTTCCGTTGCAGTGTACTGGTATACCAATAATCATGTGATCTAGTTGAAAAACATAGTGACTATTTGACTGACAGCCAGGCATGCTTCAAAAAATACTAAATGACCACAGTATACGATGAGCCTGGCCATGGTTTGCTGGGAAGCCCACCTGAATGGGATGAATAATTTCTGTATTCTTATGACTGCTTTTATCCGATTATTTTGGTTGTACTTACACAAGCCGCACCTTAAATAGTGTCTATTTAGTTCTATTAATGTTTATTTTCGTTTGTGTTTTCCAACAATTTGTTCAATACAATATGATTATAGGTCGAAATCAACAAAAAAATGTCCATCCCGGCCAGGTCAACTTAGCTGAGATCCCACCTAGATCAAGGTGAGATCTCACCTAGCCAGGTTTGCGGCTCTTTTCTAATATGAACACAGATTGAATTTTATATGTGATAAAAAAGGCATCCAGGTCTCACCCAGGTGAGTTTCCCAGTTAGCTGAGCTCATATGAACCGGCCATTTACAAGGTTTTTCAGACAACTTGACAGTAGGTAAGGTGTACACCTACCATGTTCTAGGTGCCGGGTTTGCCTGCTTTGGGTCAGTGCTTTAACAGTCTTTATATTTGTCTTGGTAGTTTTACCTGAAACTTGTTTAAAATTTCTTCCCAACTAGTTTTAACTCAATAAAATGCAAAACAACAGTAACTCCGGATATGAACATTTTAATTGAAATGTTCATATTCAGAGTTGCTGTAGTTTTTGTATTCTTTGTACTCAGTGGTTCCTGTAATTTAACAGTTTTAACTCTCTTCAACCTTTGGGAGATACTGTAGGGCTGGGATTTGGGGTTCATTATTTTAAGATAACATTTTAACTATAGATGCCAAACTGCTGGCTATTTAGTAATTTAGTATTCTTTGTAATATGACCAGTTGTCTATCAAATAGTCTTGGGGTTGAAAAACTATTGATGTATCAAAAATATTAAAATATGTTACATATTCTCAAGATTAAGTGAGCACTTCAGCTTTGATATAATCCTGAAATTGTGTAACTGACAATATGGGCGTCAGCATCACAATAGGAAGATATTTCGCTGGCCTCAGAGTGACAAAACGTAACAATGCAACGGTTTTACTAACACTAACCCAACTCCAAACACCAACCCTAACCTAACCCTACTCCAAATTCGTTTCTAAACCAATTTTGAAGAAAAAAATTTTGACGAAATGTCAGTCTGAGGTCAGCGAAATAGTTGATGCCATCACAATACACCTGAAAGTAAGTCATTTTGTTGTTCAATGCTGCAATAGCCCAAGCTATCCCTCAACATATGCCACAACAGCATAAAATAAATATAATTTAATAAGTAATGTTAGTAATTTAATGTAGAATACTAATATTAAATAATTCATACTTTATATTAATGTGATAGTAATAAACACCAACAGAAAAATATTTTAATATTGTTGAAATTAATATTGCCTCACGAGCACACGAACTGTACATTAATGACCAGTGATTGCAGTAATGACCAGTGATTGCTTCTTAAAATGTTGAACACTAGAGCTATGATCATCATTCTCGAGAGTAAATTCTATCTCAAGGGGGGAGGGGGTAAAAAAAGGAAACATGTGTGATGTGGTGAACCTGTGCAGATCTTGATCGAATCCTAACCAACACCCCTGAATCTGTTATCCAATCGACCTCTTCAGCGGCAATGAGTGCAATTCTGTTCTGATTTTAATGTCTTTGTGTTTGTCAAGTTATCTTCATATGACACGTGAACAGTTCTAGATTAGTGTTCAGCAGACCGGGAAGGTTTAAACCAAACCCTTTCTTTGATCATTTTTCCGACACTTGAAACACAACCGCACAAGTCTGGCAACGTGTGATGCTGTCATCTCCGCTTTGATTCGACAGTGAAACCCGCCACTTGTTGAACAGAAAAGAAACAGCCAAAAGAAAAGCGAAAAAGAGCTCGTACATCAACGTCTGGGAATTACGGAGACCTTCGTCGCTCCTGTAAAACTCTCATAGTTCTCATATCCGCGCGGAAACGAAAATAATTTTTCCAGAGTTTGCCTTCCTTAATGAAATCCAACACGAAAAGATTTTGGTCGCCGTGTTCTTAAATCTGTGTGACTGTATCGAAAAGATCCAGTGTACCGAGTGAAGTGATCTGGGAACGTGATAAAGTAACTGTAATTTATTCTTCTGATGCATGGAAAAGAGTAGATGAATTATGATATTCTGAACATAAGTCATAACTCATCCAGTCGTTTACATCCATCAGATGAAGAAAACCGCAGCAAAAATTGCAAGTGCATGTAAACGGGCTTTTACGCATCTACTTCTATTCTATGTTCAATCCGCCTGAAGAATATAATGAACTACCGCCTGCTGTGATCCTATAAGTGATTTAATTTGTGATGTAGTGAGTACACTACTACAAACAGTACAAAGCTGCTGGACCAGACATTTCCTCTTCGCTTGGTGATGAGCACTGGCAGATTCCCAGCGGAATGGAAGATAATACCTATTCTTAAAAATCTATTCCTAATAGTGGTCAAAGCAACGAAATCTCAAATTATCGACCCATACTTCCCATGGTGTCGATAGTCTTTGAGCGAACTGATCAACCATGTGTAAAGTCAAATGCATAACCTCCAATTTGGATACTGCAAATTCTACACTAGATTGGTGAGTCTCTCGACGAAAGAATTCAAAACTGATATCCTTTATATTGATTTCGCTAAAGCGTTTAAAGGTGTTTCGCAAGGTTTAAATATTGGTCCTCTATTGTTTCTTATGTATGTGAACGAGCTACTTCAAAATATCATATATTTATTTGGTATCGTTTGTGTACTGTTTGCTGATGACAACAAGTGTTATCGTACAGTAAGGACAAAAGAGGACGTCCAATATCTCCAATGCTATCTTGAATATGACCCTACCCAGTCTGAATGGTCATCTTGTGGTGACAAGAAATGTGAATTCCGTGTCCTACCACATGACGAACATATGCAAGAAGATCTCAGCATACTGATAACTCCGGAGTTCTTTATAAGACGTTTAATACTTCACGTTAGTACGAAGTCACCTGGCCTTGTCGTACAGCTCTCACGTTTGGTCTCCACAGTCTGGTCTCACTTATCCTCGACATCGAGAAAGTTCAACAACGTGCAACGAGATTTATCTTCTCCCTGCCGTTTCGATCTGAAACCTGTTAAAAAGATCGGCTGAGGATTACTCCCTTTTCCCTACTGGCATGAGTACCTGGATTTAGTCACTTCTTTAAGACAATGAAATCACTCTCTGTATGCTTGTGAACATGACTGGCTAGCCTGCATGGGAATATAAAATTGCCCCTTGTGTTTTGTCGAATATTTTTTCATTAATTTTGACGAGACTTTTTGCTCGTCTGACCGGTGCAAATGGTCACATGCAATCAACTCTCATTTAATTCTTGTTCTTGTTTGAGCGGGGACATGAAAGTTATGCAGGCTAACTCTCACACAGTATATGTAGCGTACTGAGATTTTCAATAATACAGTAACACATCCAGTTAAAATTGTTAGAAATAGAAACTACTTCATTCCAGACAATATTACTCTACATTTATAACCTATATAGGCTTCTATAAGGCGTTTCCTGTGACTTCACATAATTTGCATACTACGCAAAGGAAGGGTGATACAGGAAGGGGCTTCTTAGGCAGCGCCCCCGCCCACAAATGCACGCACGCTACCTTGTACCAGTGGCTTTAGGGGCTGTTTATATGGTCCCGCTTACCCAGGATTCAATGAAGGGTGACGTATTTTGAGCAATTGAAATATGTGTTTCAGCCCTAATTAAACAAAGTTAGATAACTTTTTGAGACATTTTTTGTTTAACATATTTTACTACTTTAGTACTTGCATGTATAGCAGCGCCTACAACCAATTTATTTATCAATTACATAGTGGCAACGGAAGTGTTCCTGAAATATTCTCAATTCATTCGCTCACACGAACCGATTCATTTGATAAGTTCTTTGAAAACTTGATAATTATAACTTTCCGATAATTGATAAACATCCTATAATATGAATGCACCAATGGTGCAATTGATTAATCAAAGAGGCAGGAAATGACAAAAAATGATCCAAAAACAGGAAGTTGCAAGAACTGGTCAAATGTCTATGAAAAATTGATTCGTGTGCAAATGAATTAGTAGAGTATTTTAGGAACACTTTCCATTGCCACGCTAATAGTTAACATTTTACATTCAACTACTGTTTCAGAAGATCTCGTCTATATTTGTAGAAGTCGATAATCAGTTATGACTAAAGTGACAGTTGATTTAGACCATTATCTTATACAAGTTCATATTTTGATTTATTTTGAATATGGTTCCAGAAACATCCAGCGCAGGCAACGGAAAGGAACTGTAACAGAAAAAAATTGTGAAACAAACTTAGCTTTGCCAACATTTTTGCCGGCTGTCTTAATTAATTTCGTTTATACAAAATGCGGGGACTGCAAAGGGGGGGGGGGGGGGGGGGGGGGGGGGGGGGGGTAGGTGTAAACCACCCCCAACTGTGAAACTCAAAGGTAAAAATTAAGTAAAATTCAAGTTTAAATTTTGACATTTTCATAATAAAGTCGTTATTTTTGTGAAATGATAACCATTTTTGTAAAATACAGTCAATTTAGATCCAATTCGTTTGCGATTTCGATCTTTGATCCAATTCTTTGCGATTTTATTTATTAATACTAATATAATATTAATAATAATAATATTAATGATCTTTAAACACGGTAACCTTTCACATAGGTGATTTTCAAAGGGCCGTGCGGAAAATACATACATTAAAGAAGGAACTAATAAACTAAATTATAATTATTTACAAAATATATTTATTTATTTATTTACAAGATGTGATTATTTAATAGATGATGGACAGATTTTAAACTTGTTGACTCTCATAGGGTTTTCAACACCCGTTTAGCATACACCTCAACGGGTATTACCCATATGTTCTCAATTGAGAATATTCGGTATTACCCGTGCCAGACTATCGCCTGCGCTACCTGACGCTGACGCTTTCGCATATCATTATATATAAACCAATCACAATCGTCT